AATCATAATGCCATTACTCTGTTTTCACTGGATGACAGAGTCTCTGCAGTATCATTTGCTCTTGGCAGACCATATATCATATACCATCATCATTCTTCTCCCGTTAGTAATTTCTTCACTGCAAGAAAAACTCTGGAAACCATCTTAAGAAATGGTGAAAAATAGTTCCTTTTCTTTTAAAATTGCTTTTTTTCTTATGCACTTACTGTCAAAAGTGATAAACAAAACGTTGTGTGAGCCAGCCATGGAGGATTTTGGCAGTATAAGTGCCTATCATAAGGAAAATCGAGCTGCATAATTTAACAAGGTGTTTAGAGGTAGGTCCAGAACCACAATATAAATACCCAATCACACTTCAAACTTGGCACTTGGCACTCAAAGTAAAATTCAGAGGCTTTTTTTTACTTTTATTCTGCCACAAACTTTTGTTGTGAAATTTCTTCGTAATTTATTCATTTAATTAACTAAACTCATTCCCTTAAGGGGGGGGGGTTAGCCAGTAGGGATGCCATAGACAAAGCATATTGTGAGTTTATCGAGACGTTCTTTAAAAATCTTTTAATAACCTTGCAATTAACTTGGAAAAATAAGGATTTTGCAGCAACTGTTTTCATAGGCTGAGCAACTGTTCTCCAGGTGTCCTGAATAATGGGCTAGCGGCAAAGATGGAGGAAGGCTCTAGAGGTATGGCAGAAAGCTCTGTCCTTGCCCTGCATGACAGTAACACGTCAGGAGCAGACACAATGGTCAGGTTCACTGAATTAAAATAAACCAGTAGCCTCCTTGTCTGGAAAGAGGGACTCAGAACTCAGAAAAATGGACTCTGGACTCAGAAAATCAGTTTGAACTCTGGCTCCCTATGTTTTACCCATGTGATTTGGGGCTAAACACTTAAGAGTCTTCCAGTTTCAATTTCCTTATCTGTAAAATCATGTTCTGTGATATATCAGGTACATAGAAAGTGTTCAAAAAGGGTACTTATTATCAAATCTGCCGATAGTTCAAAGCTGGGGATAGGGATGCTATATCATAGAATTAAGGTTCAAAATTATGACAGAAAGATGGGCAAAGGTGGTGATAAATATTATAGAAAGAATAAAAATAAAATTCCCTAGTTAAAGGTTTTGGGTTTCTTTGTTTGTTGGTTAGTTTTAAGGTCAGTTGTACCAGTATAGAATGGAGACATACTGGCTTATTAGTTAGCAGCCTATGTGAAAAACTTTCTGAATGCTTAAATGACAGAGAATGTACTATGCAGACAATAGCAGGACATGGATACTGAATTATTAGGTGTAATCTCATACTACGGAAGCATATGTTGTCTATAAATCATTGATTTGATCTATAGACAAAACAATGAATTTGATTTATAGACAACCTAATTATTATCTATAATACAATACATTTTGTCAAAGCCATATCCCATCTGGAGCACTGTGTTCAGTTCTAGGCACTGTATTTTTTGAAAGAATACTTATAAAATATAGCATCACCTGAAAAAAAAATCAGAAGGATGAAAGACTTATTACATATGGGAAGGCTAAAGAAACTAGCAACGATAAGGCTAGTGAGAATAAAGAGAATGTTAGGGAGATTGCCCTCAAACATACAAAGGGCAGTAAAAATCAAAGAGGAATAGTAATTAATATGTATCGAGTACTTCTTATGTACAAAGTAGTCACTGTTTTGTTTTTTAATATTTTATTTATTTATTCATGAGAGACACACAAGACAGGCAGAGACACAGGCAGAGGGAGAGAAGCAAGCTCCCTACAGGAAGCCCGATGTGGGACTTGATCCCAGGTCTCCAGCATCACACCCTGAGCCAAAGGCAGATGCTCAACCGCTGAGCCACCCAGGCGTCTGGCAAAGTAGTCACTGTTACCCACACTTGCAGATGAGAAAGTAGGGGCACAGGGGCAGAGTGAGATGCTTACAGTCACATAATTTGGGTGGACCCATCCCCGCAGTCCCGCCCCAAATGGAGAAGAGATATTAAAGCTATATTCCAAATATTTCTAATCTCATCTAACAGGATCACTTTAAGACTGCGCCCTCCTCGTTCTTTTGAAGTTGGACACGGATTACTGATTCGCTCTGGCCAGTGAAATGTGCATATAAGTCATGTTTGCGACTTCAGCGTGGGAGTTCAAGAGTCTGTGAGCAACTCACCACATGTTCTTCCCAGCATGAGTGCATCGACATGAAACTTCCATCAGTCTATCAGCCTAGGTCCCGGAGGGGGAAATGATGAACACAGCCACCCTGCTGACCCTTACTGGACAGTAGCAGGAGCAAGAAATAAATTGTTGTTTGGTGAAGCCACTGAGATGTGGGGAGTGCTTGTTACTGTGGCAATACCCACCCTTTTCTGACAGATAAACAAACCCACACGCTTAAGTCATTAAAATACCTCAGAATTTTTTTAAAAAACTTTATTCTTATATTTTAAAAGGTCAGAACTAAGAATAGTTTATAGAAACTAAAAGTAGGCAGATTTGGGCTTAATTCAATTTTTTTTTAAAGTGAAGTTTTCCAAAGTTGCTTCATGAGGTAGCATGCTCCCTGAAAATGTGGTATTTATTTATTTATTTTAAAATATTTTATTTTATTCATTCATGAGACACACACAGAGAGAGAGAGAGAGAGAGAGAGAGAGAGAGAGAGGCAGAGACACAGGCAGAGGGAGAAGCAGGCTCCATGCAGGGGGCCCGACGTGGGACTCGATCCCAGGTCTCCAGGATGACACCTTGGGCCAAAGGTGGCGTTATAAACCGCTGAGCCACCCCGGATGCCCGAAAATGTGGTATTTAAAAGAGTGGCCAGAAGGGACATCTGTCTGGCCCAGTTTCTCTTGTTTCTCTTGATCTCAGGGTCATGAGTTCAAGCCTCACGATGGGCCTAGAGTTTACTTTAAAAATATTTTTTTTAAATATACAAAAAATAAATAGAGGCTAGATAGTTATTGTGGATCTACGTAGCAAAAAAAATATGGCTTAATGAAGGAGGTTTAATGTACCAAACATTTATGGAGCACCTCCAATGTGCCAGGCATTTCTGCTACAGCGATAAACCCAAACACCCAATCCCTACCCTCAAGGAAATAGCCATTAAGTACAGAAGTAGATAAGGTCTGCTGACTCTTCTAGCAGCGTGATTCAACCAAATTAGAGATAATAACATGGCCTGCATGAAGCTGACAGTAAGCCCGAACTTACAAATAACCACGTAGCACAAGAAATCCTGCTGATGCTTAAGTTGTAGCATTATTTTTCAATTAGCAGCCAAAAGTACAGGGTTTGCAAAAGGAAGGAAAACGAGAGAATTTCTGGGTTTACAGGAGGAACATTTTCCCTTTCTCTAGTTACCATTCTTAAATCCTGCAAACCAGGCATATTATCTGGCTTACATCAGGGGTGTTCCAGCAAAGGGAATAGCACTGACTCACAGCAATTGTTACCGACCTTTTCCATCACTTCTCCCACCCCTTAGGGTCAGGAAGGGAAGGAACATTTCAATCCCCATCAGCTAAGACCCGAAGAGAGGCAATAATCTTCCTGTAACACCATTCTTAAGTTTAGAAATCAGCCACAGCTTTTCCAAAATATCAGAAGTTTCTCGTGAAAGGGTTATTTGAGCAGAGCCTAGAGGAATCCCACATTCTAAGGATGATATGAAAATCACACACTTGGGTGATTCCAAGGGACATGGACATTGTTTCCCAAGGGCACTCTTTTTCCCCTAGTGGTATTAAAGCTTTGTTTGTTTTTTCAAACTTTCGAAAAGCAAGCAGTGCAGAGATATGCTTTCCTTTGAGGGGCTCGCTGCATTTGAATGGAAAACCTTGCAAATCTCGGTTAAGCATTAACCGTAATTGCTCTGGGGCAGACATTTCCATTTTGGGTTATTATTCATATCAGTATTTGCACAGAATACTATCCGTGGATGGATTTTGCTGCCGTTATCTACACAAGAGTGACGTATCTGATTACTATTGTTCCCCAACTCAAAAGCATCAGTTTGAACTTTGAATACTCCAGCCCTGCCCAGAGCCTGAATTTTCTGAACGGTGGTTCTGATTTTCTACGAAATAAACAAATAGATGAGAGCAAGCTGGATCTCAAGGCCGTATCTCCAGTCGGTTCAAAGTGGCATGAGTTTCTCAAAAATACGCACACAGAAGAAACTGGCTTTGGCACATGTAGGAGCGGCAGAGACTCTGCAGCTTGTGCTAAGTTTAAAGTGCACCCTTAGTACTCTGGCCCGTTTTCAAAAAATAAGCGATAGTCTCCCAGAGACAGCTGGATCCCTGTGCAGCACCCAGTCTTGCAGCAGCAAGCTACGTACACAAATGTACACGTTACCAACACAGATGTGAAATGTCCATCCAGGACAGGAGAGAGGCATTCAGACTGGGCTGTTTAGTCTAGTGGCTCCACACCCAAAAGTTTCAGGGACACAGAGGATGTTGGAAGAGTGAGAGGGGAGACCGCCCGTCCCGTGTGTTCATCCGGGGCCTATGGAGTTTGTCCTCTGCCCTGGTGACCCGGGTTGAGATTTAATCTAGGGCCAACGTGGGGCGAAACCCATTGTGCTGGCGGCTACCCGGGCGGAGAGGAGGGCTGGGCATCAGCAAGCCTTCCGGGCCGTGCGGGCCGACACACCCACCCAGACCCGCAGGCCCAGGGGTGCGGCAGGGAGGCGCGGGCCGGGGGCGGGGGGGAGGCGCGGGGGGCGCGCCCCGGTCCCGCGCGCACCGGGATGCTGCTCCCGGGGACCCGCGCGACTCCGGGTCCCCGCTCGCAGGTCGCGCGGTACGCTCGGAGAGGATGCTCTCCTTCTCCTCCTCCTCCTCCTCCTCCTCCTCCTCCTCCTCCTCCTCCTCCTCCTCCTCCTCCTCCTCCTGCCGGGCCCCCGCCCCCCGGGCGAAGTGAGCGGGAGAAAAGTTGTGCCGGGGTCCGGGGACGCGGGCAGGGGCGGCCGGCCCCGGGCCCCCCTACCTGGTCCTTGGGGCCGAGGTTCTGCAGCACCTCCTTGCCCGTGGCGCTCCGGATCTCCACCCCGGCGGGCGCGGCGGGCGCGGCGGGCGCGGGCTCCCTGGCGTCCTCGCGGCCCTGGCCCTGGCCCTGGCCCTGGCCCTGGCCCCGGCGCGGGCTGTCGGCCTCGAGCCCCGGCCGGGTCCCCGCGCCCCGGCCGCCGCCCTGGCTGCTCCGGGGGGTCTTCGCGCCCCGCTGCCCCACGCTCAGCGCATCGAAATCCAGCGTCTTGCTCTCGAAGGCGCCCTCCACGCTGCAGAACATGCCGCCGTACTTCTGCCGCGGGACCTGGTCCGTGGTGCCGGGCCGGGCCAGGTACACGGGCAGATCGTCCTCGTGGGCGCTGTCCCAGCCCCTCCGGCCCGAGGCCATGGCTCGGCGCGCGGCGGCCCCGCGGCTCGGCTCCCCCGCAGGCGGAAAGGGCAGCCGCCGGCAGCGTGCGCGGAGCCACAGTGACTGGGGCGGGGGGAGGCGCCTGAGCGTTCGCGCCAGAGGCGGCAGTGCAGCTCCGGTTCCTGCCGGGCCGCCGCCAGCCAGCCGCGCGCTCCGCCGGGGACCTGCCGCCGCCCCCGGCGCGCCCCCGACCCCAGCGCCGCCCCCGGGTCGCGCCCGGCCGCCCTGCCCCAGCGCTAGCCCCCGCTCGCCGAGGACCCCGGGGCCGCACGCGCACACGCGCCCTGGCCCTCGCCCCCTCGCGGACTGGCGAGGTCGCCTCCCCCGCGCAGGCCTGTCCGCGCCCTGGGACCCGCCACTCCGGGTGGCTCTGGCGCGCGGAACACCACTCGCACGCACACGCACAAGGCTTTGGCCGACTTGGTCCTACACTTGGCTTACCCGTAATCCCAGGTTTGCCTCACCCTCCTCTTAGGACGGTCTCACAGCGGTCCCCAGTTGCAGCGCGTGCCTCACGCACCCGCACCCGCACCCGCACCCGCCGGCGAGGGACTCCTGAACGGTTGAAAGAGCCCCTCTCACTCCGCTGACAGTGACAAAAGCCCGTCATCGACCCACAGGCAAATCGACGCTTCAACTATTCTCACCTCATGTTTAGGACCCCAGATGGTGCTTTCTGCCCCAGAATTTGCCTCGCAATTACTGTGCGTGTCACAGACACGCACACACGTCCCTAGACTGTAAAACACCACCGATACCCCATCACACAACAAACCCGAGGCTAACACCTCACACACGCGCTCGAGCTCAGCTTTGCCTCCATCGGAACCCTCCACGGGGCTCACACATGAGCTAGGATCTACCTCAAAAATACACACCCTTCGGCCCGCCGTGTTACCTCGGTTCCACACAGAAGTTACTTACGCGGATGCCAGCTCTCACGGCTCACTCTCCTCCCGGTGTCCACCCACATACACCCCAAACCACACTTTGCCAGTAAGCACAGAGCTGGCGATCGGCAGAGCTGGCATGGCCTCTGCACACACAGCCGACGTCCGGAACTCTCGGTGCCCACATTAGACTAGGCCTCCTTTCGGAAATTCACTCATTAAATTCCTTAATTTATTCTTTTTAAAGATTTTTATGTATGTATTCATGAGAGACACAGAGAGAGGCAGAGACCCAGGCAGAGGGAGAAGCAGGCTCCATGCAGGGAGCCCAATGTGGGACTCGATCCCAGGACCCCAAGATCACCCCTGGGCCAAAGGCAGGTGCTCAAACACTCAGCCACCCAGGCGACTCCTTAATTTATTCATCCAACGTGAACTGAATATGCCCACTATGCTCTTCACAAGATACCGGAGTGACAGTGTTAAAACAAGGCAGATGGGGGCCCACCCTCAGCTAGAGTGTAGTCCGCAGCCACCCACCCAAGTAGCACAATCATTCACTGTTCCGCGTGACATACTAAACTTCCTCTTGTGAACCTCCCCACTACATCATAAGCTTCATGATGTCAGAGCTCTGGGTCTGTTTAGTTTGCCACTAAATATCTTGAGCCCAGGGACACCTGGGTGGCTCCGTGGTTGAGCATCTGCCTTTAGCTCAGGTGGTGACCCTGGGGTCCTGGGATGGAGTCCCACATCCGGCTCCCCATAGGGAGCCTGCTTTTCCCTCTGCCTGGGTCTCTGCCTCTCTCTGTGTGTGCCTCATGAATAAATAAACAAAATCTTTAAAATAAAAGAAAACTTTATTTAAAAAAATATCTTAAATCCAGAACATCTGCAGGCACATATGAAGAACTCCAGAAATCCTTTTGGAATACATGGGTAATGATGATAATAATAGCGACAGCAACAACAGGGAGCATTCGTGGAGCTGTTGCTGTGTGCCAGTCACTACTATAATTGTGTCACACGCAGGGAATCAATGCTAATAAGCATATGGCAGGCTTCTTTGTGCACGCACCATCTTTGAAGGCATCTGCAATCTGATCAACTGAAACTCACAAGTCCAATTTTGGAGAGGAACCAGGATATTGGAAAACAGAATTTCGATAGCAGGATTGTGACAGCCATGAAAGGTTGGGGATGGAAGTTGATGTGAACTCGAATCAAAGACAAGTATGTTTACACAAGTTGTACTTGCCCACCCCACCACTGTCCCCATGAGGAGAAAGATACTTGCTGAACCGCCCGTGCTCTATCAGATTACTCATGATTTTTTTTTAAGATTTTATTTGTTTATTCATGAGAAACAGAGAGAGAGAGAGAGGCAGAGACACAGGCAGAGGGAGAAGCAGGCTCCAAGCAGGGAGCCTGACGTGGGACTCCATCCCAGGTCTCCAGGATCACGCCCTGGGCTGAAGGCAGGCGCTAACCCACTGAGCCACCCGGGCTGCCCTATTCATGATTTCTTTTTTTTTTTTTTTTTTTTTTTTCCTATTCATGATTTCTTAAGTGAACTTCCTTTGGGACATTGCTCCTTTTTAACAAATGCTGGTTGTGACAGACCCAGAAGTTCACGTGAGAAATTAGTAATACAGGCTGGTCCCTCCCTCTTTGCTCACACAGGTGATTCCCTTCCTCTTTCCCATTGCTCTCAAACTCTTCTCCACTCATTAATTTATATACAGACTTTTAGGGGGACACTTGCTATGTGTCTAGCACTGTCCTGGAGTCCCTCTTCTGTAGAACATAATTCTAATGGGAGGAAAGAGATGATAAATAAGATAGGTGCCTGGGTGGCTGAGTTGGTTGAGCATCTGCCTTTGGCTCAGGTCACGATCTCATTTTTCTGGGATCAAGTCCCACATTGGGCTCCCTGTTCAGTGTGGAACCTGCTTCTCTCTCTGCCTCTATCCTTGGTTTGTGCTCTCTCTCTCTCTCAAATAAATAAATAAATAAAATATTTTTAAAAAGAAAAAGAAAACAAGACACCTGGGGTGCCTGGGTGGCTCAGTTGATTAAGCACCCACCTTCAGCTCAGGTCATGATCTCCAGGTCCTAGGATCGAGTCCCATATTGGGCTCCCTGCTATTGGGGACTCTGGTCCTTTCTCTCTCTCTCTCTCTCTCTCCTCTCTCTCTCTCCCCCACACTCCATCACTTGTTCTCTCTCTCTCTCAAATAAATCAAAAAAGAGAGAGGAGAAAACAAAATATTCACCTTTCCAATCGGTTGTCATTTATTCATGAGAGACACAATGAGAGAGAAGCAGAGACACAGGCAGAGGGAGAAGCAGGCTCCCTGCAAGGAGCCCGATGTGGGACTCGATCCCGGATCCTAGGATCACGCCCTGGCCTGAAGACAGACGCTGAACCACTGAGCCACCCAGCCGTCTCTATAAGGAATTTATTCTGTGCTGGGCTTAATTTAATGCTAAGGACTCTTCATACATTATCTTGATTAATTTTGATTAGTAATAATTAACAATACAAGTCATGTACTATTATTTCTTTTTTCAAGCGGGAAGGCTGAGGCTCTGAGTAAATGCCCAAGTTGTGACAGGACCATAACTAGAAATATGTGCAGAGTCTGAGGTTTCCTTTGAGAGGGGAGCATTCTGACTGTAGATGTACTTGCATGTGCTTGTGCGTGTGGGCATTTGGGTGTAGATAAGTCCAAGTGTTAGAGCTACATTGCCTCACCACTGTGTCTGTTGCAATGTATAAGCTCCATAATTACATTTGTTGACGCAACACCAGAAACATCACATCTAAAAGTCAACAGCTGCATATACACATATGTGTTCAATTAAGAAAGCAAAGCAGCCATTAGAAGAAGGCTGAGATGGGAACGGCTGATCTGACTCCAATTCTGCAATTATGTGGCCCTAGGCCAAGGGTCTTACTTAACTTCTTGATGTCTTTCTGCTTTATATTTGCCTCACCCATCTAACAGGATTAGAAGGATTTCATTCCTTGACTAAGACATTGCGCTGCACATTGCCTTCTCCTTCACAACCACCCCATAAGTGTGGTGAGATTACTAGCCTCATTTTACCAGGGGAGAAAATGAAGCCTAGGCAAGTTAAGTTTTCTGTAGTGCAAAGTATCACACTAGCACTTCAAGCTAGGATTCAAACCCTACTAGCTAGTCTAGAGCCTGTGCTCCTAAAAACCACCCCAAGACAGAGTTCTGTTGTAAGGATTCAGAGAAATGATCATGGGAAGACCAGAAGCAAGGTGCTAACACATTAAAAAATGCTAAGAGCCCCACCTGTTTGGAGACAAAGGTAAACTTTAAGACAAACACTCACATAAGGAAATATCCTACCCAAATTCTCCTAACAAAGGCATTGGTCGCATGAACACGTGCCGATTTTACCATGTCTGTCCCTCGTAAGGTAGAGGATACGTTACTGACGACAACCATGAGCATGAGGGCAGCATCAGGCCTATGGTCACCTAAGTCACGCTTCCCAGTGTGGGGTTTATCTAAAACAACATGTAAACAAGCAAGCTATTTCTATAAGGCAGGCAGCAAAATAGAGCTTTCAACTTGTCTAACACCGGATCAAATTTGCATTTCCTGTAACTCTGCAGTAAATGACTTGCAACTTTGCATTGACATGGCTTGTTATGTGAGCCCACGGCATATCTGATTTTAACTTTAGGAAAATGTATTCCGGAGGCATATTCTATTACCTATAGATCAGCGGAAGGCAGAGTCTCCTCTATAGTAAGCAATGCATCCTTGAGCAATCCTGATACTGCAGCACACGGAATATCTTTTATGCAAAATAAATTGCACTGAATTCTTATAAAGCAAAAATCTACCCAACAGAAGATACAATTTTAATACTTACTGTGGCTGGGCCCTCCATACACAAAATAAGGAGAGAATAAAGGAGTCATGCACTTTTCCTTGATTCAACAGTGAATTTAAATATTTCTGATCAAAATTCACCCTGTCTTTTCTTTCTTTCTTTTTTTTTACACTTTTCCAACAAGTATTTATTATGAGTTAAGCCATGATTCAGGATCCCAGGGTGGGGATCACCATGTACCCAGATCCCCCTTCACCACCCTAGGGGAAGGATGGAGGACAGAGGAGAGGTGGTGGAACCAGTTCAGATGTTCCCAAGAAACATGCCTTCTGCTTGGTGGTCATTCCAGGCTGACAACCAGGTTATGGGGCAGAGGGACTTGTACACATGCCGGTGTCCTTTACGCACGGAGACATCACCCCCTTTAGCATCAGACATTGACTTTTCACAGTGGTGGAAGTCCAGGTAGTTCCACCAGCAGTTCCTGGTCTGGTTCTGGTTGGGGAAGCAGCTATCAAAAGGGGCAGCCTGGTAGTTCTTGATTTTGGTCTTGATGTCTTCCACCATGGTGCTGACTCTCAAGACACCCTTGCAGCACCTCGCAGCTCAACGTCCACCCTGTCTTTTCCGTCCTTGAATTGCAGGAATTTGAACCTAGGTTATTTCTGTCCCACTTTATGGGTACAGAGATTGGAAAGGTCATTTTTCACCCTACATATATCATATATGGATGAGGCAATCTTTGCAAACTATCCAGCACTCTGCCTGACACATAGTAGATGCTCAATAAATTTTAGCCCCACATTTCCTCAGAGTATATTTAGATATATCATTAATATCACAGAGTTTGTAATAATGAGCTTGACCTTAATGTTTGGTATACATGTTAAAAAGTGCCTACTATTTTCAATATTCCTTCATCACATTTTAAGAATTCTGACAGGCCAGGATGCCTGCCTTCAGTTCTGGTCATGATCTCAAGGGTCCTGGGACCCAACCCTCCATCATCTGGCTCCTTGCTCTGCAGGGAGGCTGCTTCTCCTTCTCCCTTTGCCCGCTACTCCCCCTGCTTGTTCTCTCTCTCTCTCTCTCTCTCTCTCTCTCTCTCTCTCTCTGTCTCAAATAAAACAAATCTTTTAAAAATATTTTTTTAAAAGAACTCTGACAGGCTACTAGTGAATTTCAGCTCAGTATTTGGTGACCAAATTGTTCATTAGAGACAAAAAACGAGTCATTTTTCATATCCATACACAATGCCAAAACCAGTTTGTTAACATATCTTGATTAATCATAGTTGTGCATGCAGCAAAATTCCTGCTGCTTCATAAATATATATATGTAGGAAGAAAAATCAACAAGAGTATACATCAAAATATTCATAAATGATGAGTTGTAGGATTATGAGTATCTTCTGGTGTCTTCTTCCATGCATTTCTAAATTTTCCAAATTCTTTATAAATGTGTTACTTTTATAAACATAAATATTTATTTATTTATTTATTTATTTATTTATTTGGGAGAGAGAGACAGCACAAGCTGGGTGACAGAGGGAGAGGGAGAGAGAATCTCCAACAGACTCCCGTCTGAGCTCAGAGCCTCATACAGGGCTTGATTCCTTGACCCCGAGATCATGACGCCAGCTGAATGTTCAACTGACTGCACCACCCAGGCACCCAGAATGTTGTTTTTTTTTAATTTATTTACGATAGTCATACAGAGAGAGAGAGAGAGAGAGAGAGAGAGAGAGAGGCAGAGACATAGGCAGAGGGACAAGCAGGCTCCATGCACCGGGAGCCTGACGTGGGATTCGATCCCGGGTCTCCAGGATCGCGCCCTGGGCCAAAGGCAGGCGCCAAACCGCTGCGCCACCCAGGGATCCCCAGAATGTTTTTTTTAATTTAATTATTTATTTGAGAGAGAGACAGTGTATGGGTTGTGCAAGTTGGGGGAAGAGCAGAGAGAGAGAGAGAGAGAGAGAGAGAGAGAATCTTGGGCCAACTCTGTGCTAGGTGTACTAGAAACGAGGTTTGATCTCACATCCTGAGATTATGACCTGAGTCGAAATCAAGAGTTGGCTGCTTAATCAACTGAGCCACCCAGGTGCCCCCAGAATTTTATTTTTAAATATGTGTCCAGGATATTATTTTAGATAGAAACACATTTATCGAACATATTGAAAATTGCTGATTGAGAATTATTGAGCCAAGCTGTTAGTTCCCTACTCTGTTATGAAGATCAATTATCTAAAATGAAAAAAAAAATTAGATTCCTCATCAGAGTCAAGTTGTCACCTCATGGAAAGCATATCAGCAGTTGGACAACTGAATAAGAAGATGATGATTATCACAAGAACATGAAATGAGAGCTTAATAAATGTCCTCAGGCAAATCCTTTCCACCAAAGGATTAGTTAATAAGACTCAACATGATCACCTTCCTACTGAGGAGTTGTTGGCATTTCCTTCCCAATTTTTATATGCTGACCATCTCTCTTGGATGTTACTATTCTCACATGTTCAAAAGCCAACTCCAATCACAGAATTTCCTTTTGCCTTAAGTGGGAAGGAGACAATCGTTATGTAGTTGCTGACCCATGTGATAAAACAGATACTGACTTCAAATGCTCTAATGCTCTATTTTCGTTGGTGCAGGTTCACAGGTGCAACCTAATCTCCTAACTGAAAAATCTCTAAGGAAGGACCAGACAATAAATGTAACTATAGGCTATAACAAAATAATAACAACAAAAGACAAAGTATAATCTGTCCAATCTCTTAGCCACAATGGTTCACAATCTGTTTCCAAGGTTTGTTTGTTTGTTTTATTTATTTTTTATTTGGAGCATGAGCAGGGGGAGGGGCAGAGGGAGAAGCACATTCCCAGCTGAGCATGGAGCTCGACAAGAGGCTTGGTCCCAGGACCTTGAGATCATGGCCAGACCTGAAGACAGACACCTAACCGACTGAGCCACCCAGGCACCCCTGTTTGCAAGGTTTTAAAAAATGTGCTTATTTTGTTATTTTTCCAGCTATTTTCCCTGATTCTTGTCCACTTGAAAAAACTCTCATTGGTTTTCCATTATTGTTATAATAATCTCATTCTTATTACTGAAAATTAAAATGATTTTCTTACCTTTTGCCATCTAAAGATTAAAAAAAAAAAGCAGTAATGGGGAACACCTGGGTGGCTCAGTGGCTGAGCGTCTGCCTTTGGCTCAGGAGGTGATCCCAGAGTCCCGGAATCGAGTCCCATATCCGGCTCCTGCATGGAGCCTGCTTCTCGTCCCTCTGCCTGTGCCTCTGCCTCTCTCTGTATCTCTCATGAATAAATGAATAAAATCTTAAAAAAAAAGTAGTAATGAATCCTTTGTTTCTCCTTCTCTTCCTTTGTTTTCAGTGAAAATTTCAAAACTACAGAAAAGCAGATGGTAATTTAACAAACTCCCATGTTTGCACTCTTTAGAATTTGAAAATGTTAACTTTTCATCATATTCTTCATATATTTTCAAGCAAAGAAATAGAGTTCAAGTGCCCCCTACCTGTTCTACTCTTTTTCCCTCTGAAAAAGAACCACCAACCTGTATAAATCTCTTATATTCTCATAGAGATTGCTATCTATCCTAATTTGATCCTTTGATATTTTTAAACATTTTTTCTCCTGCCAAATAAACTACTGTCCTTGTTTAATTATTTGCTTTTTAAGAACAACCATGACGTGGTTGATATACAGAAGCCCCTCACTTCTAGAAAGGTAAGGCTCGAAGCAATACCAGTAGGATTTCTGCTGTTAAATAAAGGTAATCATCTAACTCACTTATCAGGGCACTCACACTCTAAGAGTAAGTGGATTGTCTTTAGATCACTGGATTTCTGAATCAACCAATACTAGCTAGCTCTGTTAGAGATGGGCTGTTTCTTTTTTTTTTTTTTCTTTTTTTAAAGACTTTTTTTATTTATTCATGAGGGACACAGAGAGAGAGGCAGAGACCTAGGCAGAGGGAGAAGCAGGCTCCATGCAGGAAGCCTGATGCGGGACTTGATCCCAGGACCCGGGGACCATGCCCTGAGGGGAAGGCAGATGCTCAACTGCTGAGCCACCCAGGTGTCCCCAACTATTTCCTCTTGAAGGGGATATTTTTTATTATCATCATGATTCAAGTGGCTCCAGGAAACTGAACATAAAACTTGCACTTAACATTTAAAAAAGATAACTTTTATTTTAGAATTCTCTTGAGCATAAACTAAATAATGGACAAAGAAAGGTAGTCAAACAAAATGACAATCTGAAAAGAGAAGCTCCAAAAAAAAAAAAAGAAAGAAAAGAAAAGAGAAGCTCCTTTCTTTCCAGACACAAATTTGCTCGTTGCACAATACTAGGCCACTTCCCAGCTCCAACTAAATAGCTAACAGGCCAGAGTATAAATGACAGATATTAAGAGATACAAAATAAAAAATGGAAACGGTGGTGAATAACTCTTTCATTGAGAATGTTATGGCTGTGTGTAGATTCAGACACAGAAATGCATTGGTAATGCCTTCTTACCCCAGCGCTTTTGTCTGAGTCCATTTTTCTGTTAATAAATAACTCCTTGTCCAAGCAGCTCCTTGGAACGTCTTTTTCCTCCAGATCCTTCAAAATTAAGATGAATGGATAGGAAATAGGATCCTGTCAATGTTTCAAGCTTTTATAGTGATTTATATTGGAAACATGAAAAAGAAAATAAGGAGACAATTAGTTCAAGCATATAAGGCTTGATTTCCTTTCCCTGTTACAAAATATCAGGATATTTACACGCTGTGTGATAAGTTTGAGAAACGTCTGGGTTTTGAAGTCACAAAATCTGGACTACAATTAGGGGTCCATCCCTAGCTGAGTGACTTTTTGAGGATTACATACATTCTTTCTTTTCTGCTCCCTCATCCATAAAATTGCAGATAAAAAGCCGTGGTGTTGAGAGAAAAAAAAAGTGAGTTGCTGCATACCAACTTATAAATGCTTTCTACAAATGTTAACCTTCCTTCTCTTCAGTGCTTGGCTGCGATTTCTTTGACTCTGTATGTAAACCATAAACAGGTCATGAATTAATGCTATCAGGAATTTTGGCCTGTCAATGACAGATAAAACTGTATATAGATGTAGCTTATGATTACTAATCAAACTTAAGTGTGACCAAAGAGAAAAATATATTTTGGGAAACCAAGCCAGATTACCTTCTAATTTGGTCATAAAAGTTTTAGACATTTGTCCCCTAAAAACGTCCTAGACCAAAGACAGAGTCAGACAGATATGTGAAACTTACTGTATAAAAATACACTAAACAAAAAAATTAAATTAAATTAAAAATAAAAATACACTAAACATAATAAGATGTAAATATTTTTAAAGATTGTGTTTTATTTTTTAAAATATTTTTATTTATTTATTCATGAGAGACACAGAGAGAGAGGCAGAGACATAGGCAGAGGGAGAAATAGGCTCCCCACTGGAAGTCTGATGTAGGACTCGATCCCAGGACCCCAGGATCATGACCTGAGCTGAAGGCAGACGCTCAACCACTGAGCCACCCAG